TTGAAAAGACCGCTTCTTATTGACACGCAAATTACACGTCTTAAATTGATTTATGTCGGCATTTCGACATTCAATGGAATTCAATACAAAATACATGAAATCTTTCACCGCGAAATTGGCCGGTACAGAAATTTTTCTTTCACTTCAACGAAGTCGAATGAACAAGCAATATTTCACTTCAAAAATTGCAAAAGTATTTTTTTTACTTCATTTCTTTTTCTAAATAAATTCTCAGAGACATTATCTGTTTATGATATCTTTATGGTATTTCGGAAAACTTTCTTTTGGAAGCTGCGCGATCGCATTGTGAGAGTCGAAACGATCGAGTGTATTGACGTTTCGAACGAAAAAAAATAACATAGTACGCACGTGTTCGTGTGGTCCGCGCATTAATTTTTGTAAAGATTGCAAAATCGATTGCCTAGCTATGCGAATTTGATTACGCAAACACGCATGTCGATGTTGAAATTAATTCAGTTTTTTCAAACTCTTACGTTTTGGATTACATGCGCGGTATTTTACAAAAAGCACTCTGTACATAACGACGTTTGGAGAAGAGCATTCTAGTGTGAATAGCGGCGGAATGTTAGCGATGCACAACATGCGAAAATTCCTCCGCGTGCAACGCTACGTTTTCCGATATTAAAGGTATTCGAATATTATTAAAGCAGACTATAAGTGTATGGGTGATATTACATTTGTCGTATGATTGACGAGTTTGTCGGATGTAGCGATTGGCTATCAAATAGAGAATTTCTAGAGGCTGTATCGAGATTCTAAGAATTCTCTATCTGATAGAGAAAACCGATACGTCCAACAAATATTTTGTTGTATGAATGTAATATAGAATGTGATTTATATTATATATAAATGTGTAATATCGGTCTAAGTCCGGCTCGTCGAGCGAAAAAAATTTTGCTCGTAACCGAAATATATTTAGCTGAGCAAACGCGACCGTCGTGCAATTCCTATAATTGCATTTGAATATTAAAATATCTTTACATTGTTTATTGACTATAGATCCATTTCAACAATCAATTTTGTGAAGCTGTGCTTCTGAAACGTATTTATTAATCGAAGAGAAATAAAAATATCATGGGAAAAAAGAGAGAGGGGCATGTATGTACTATGTCGTGCAATCGTCATGCGTGTGTTTTACACACGTTTTACACGCGCCCTTCATACGATTATCGTACTTTACCGCCACTTTGGGGGACATCCGAACGACATTCGCCGCATCCTTGCGTCGCATGCCGCGCGACGCTACAATCACACGAATCCCACGTACATATCCTCGGCAAATTCCAAGGATTTACCCCACTTCCTCACATCAAAGTAGCCCCGCAATGGGTGGAAGATTATCGAGTACACCGATATATCCCGCGTGATCACACGCTCTCAGCACCCGTTCGTAGCGCGTCACCGCGAGGCATGGGTGTGGATCCACTCCCAGGAAACGTGCCGCGATCACTGCTATAAGCGCTCCACCGTACGGAGCGTCCCCGCGGCGGCGCCCCGACTGACAGATGGGGGTGGCCGATGCTCGGCGTCGACGTCGGTGGGGATCGCCGCTGCTCTGCCTGCCTGGCGTCGCGTCGCGTCGCTGCGCGCTCGCTCGCTCTCTTCCTTATCCTGGATCCTTGCCCGCCTTCCGTCCCGATGACGTTCGCACGCGCGAACATGCAACTATTAGGTATGTGGCTCCGCCGAGACCTTGAACAGTCGCCTCCCCCGATGGCTCGCCTATTAATGAGAACGTTTACGAAGGTCGTCGGCGGCGCCGCTTTCCGGACAAGGGCCATCAATTATGCGAATGACATTAGCTTCAGGTTTTCCGCCTTCGACATCCATGACTATTCAAGAGAGAAAGAGAAGAAAGAAGAGAGAATTTTATAATCTTAGGAAACTGTGGCAAATCATGATACTTATAAAATGGGATTCTTTACACGGCGAGTAAAGTTCTACATTTTTGGAATTGGGCGTTCGCACAAGGATATAGTACATTTTGTAACAATACAAAATCTCAATACATTTTCAAATCGTAAAAATAAAATTATAAGAGGGAAGATTACTTTGGATATTTATACATACCACTAAAGACAGTTTCACAGCTAATAGACATATCTTTGTAAAATCATCTTTTTTGAAATTTCGGTTCGGATATTCATCGTGAATGTGATGCAATACTTAATCGCGTACATCCAAGGATCAATGGAGCTATTAATTAATCGGTTAAAGTTACAATATTCTGGCTCGCGAGCTTCCAAATTTCAATTCTCTCCAAAGCGCTCT